TAATTAAATATCGATTAGTATGATGATTATTGAAGAACATCTTTTACGTGAATATAAATGTTGTTATTATATTTTCAAATCGATGTTATTTTAGAAAAAGGAAATACAATGGAACTTTTACTTTTTTTGTCATTTATACTCAAGATGCTTAAATTGTTGTTCTTTTTTTCTTTTTTGTATTTTTTGGTAACATTATTTTAACTTTTTCATCTATATAGTTTTATCTTGTTCTTCTTTCTTACCTTTTTTTTATTTGAACTTATACGCTCTATTTGAAAAAACAATATATGAGAATAAAAAGTAATCAAGAACAAAGTACATATATGCTATATTTTGAAATGAAAAGTTTACTAATAATTATCTATTAACTTTTTGACTAATCTAATTCAAACGAAAATTGATAAATTGCACTACAGAAAAATGTTCATTTGGTACAGGATAACGTATGAAACTGGCAAAAGGGTGACAGTTGATGAATTATCAAAATTTAATAAGCAGTGTAGAACGAAATGATACTAATTACAATTTTCAGACGAATACTTTTATAATAGCAAAGCCAATATGAGACAAGATTAATAATATTTTTATAATAGATAACGTAACATTGTTTTGTTAACCTTCGGATGCTCAAGCAGGGTCCATCTGAATCCCAAAATAGGAAATAGACATTCAAGAAAGTTTTGGTATTAACTGTTCTAAATAAAGGGAAATTATAATTCTAATAACTACTTTACAAGACTGAAGAGGAAAATAATCTAATTTCGGAAAGAATACCGGTCCAGCAATCAAAATCATAGAATATGAATACATGTTATCATATTATCTCCGAAAAATTAGTTTGGGCATCCGAGGGTTAATAATGGGAAAAGTTTGTATTCATTTGATGGTACATATCTTACAAGTTAAAGCTACAATAGAAGTTATTTGATAAATAAGATTTATCTTTTTAGCTGCAACAGTTATATGTGTGAATGTTCCTTCCAAAAAATGAAACGATACCTATTAACTTTATAATAAAGCTCTGCTTTTTCCAAAGAAATAGCTAAAATACAAGTCACATAGATATACGTATATATTGAAATGAAGACGACATTTAATTATACGAAATATTTTATCTGACTTATGAAAATGAGATAGATGTGTGTAGAACATGCTATGGAATGCTACTATTCTTATATCAATAACATGCATAATTCCAAATTAAGAACATCTATATATATAATACTTGTTTTTTTAATGAACTAGTTTTAAAAAAGTAATGTATAAAACGTCTATCATTTTTAGGACTATAAAACATTAAAACGAGCTCTTGATAATGGTATAATAAAATAAAAAGGAAAATATCCATTGAGAAAAAGAGAACAATTCGAAGAATATGAAGACAAAATCAATTAGAAGAAGACGAACATAAACAGTAGTACAGAGAAGAAGAAAAAGGACAAGAAAAATAGTATTTATTCCTTCTTATTTCAATATGCTGCTAAAAAAGTTAAAAAGTTGTTTCTTCTTCATCATTAACACCACATTGGTTGTCGCATTGATTCTGTTGAAAAATGTGTTGCTATGTTTAAAAGAATATTCAAAGTTAGTAACTAATGTAATTGAATACATTAACTCACCTGTAATATACGTTCTTGATCACGTAGCCTTCTTCGCATTTCTCGACGTCGTTCTTCATATAAAAAATTCGATAGTTTTGTTTTAATCAAATCGTTATAGCACTTTTGAAGCAGATCAAAATCAAGTCGAAATTTGACTCGAATTGTTTCTTAAAATCATATGCCAGAGTAATACAATAAATGATGTTAAAGCAAATGAAAGAACTTTTTACCAAGAAATATATCAAATCGTTTTTGGTCCAATGCTGGTCTTCTTAGATGATCTCGATTAGGTGGAAGTATATGAGTTCTTAGCTCCTCTTTCGAATATAATAATTTGAGAGTCCTTCGAGAAAAATCGATCAGGTTCTTAGCTGGTGTATTTAATAAATTTTGTTCATTATAGATCTAAAAGCTCGACAAGCATGAATCATTTTGTTTTTACTTTAAAAGAGATGGGCAACTCAAGTTAAAACAACGATCAATTCAGTTCAGTTCATTGAAACGCTTCAACTCATTTCAATGCAAATCTCTGATAAAAAAAAACATTTTTATGCAACTTAACTCGATTGAAAGATCTCGGGACTTTTTTCTTCAATTTAATTCAATTCAATTCAACAATCTTACAATTTGTTTTACAACTCGATTTAATTCAGTTTCTTGGTTAAGGTTTTTCTTTCGACTCAATTCAATTCATTGATGTTTGAAATTTTTACTTAATTCAATTCAAAACAAATAGTAGATCTTCGACAAATGGTTCAACTCAATTCATTTGAACTTGTAGACTCAGAAATTTTTTTTTTAACTCAATTCCACGGGGTTCATGAATAGAATCGAATCCAGTTGAGTTCGTAGTTTTTTTAACTGAGTTGCCCGCTCTGTGCTTCATGAATGATATGTGCAATACATACGATTTCTGTCGGAAAAATTTCTCCTTTATCAGTACGATAATCATCTAAAGTTGTTGAGCCCTATATAAAAGAAAAAGACATGTCACATAAGTCTTGTCTACTGTTTGAAATATCATAACCTGAATAAAGTTTGATCCAATATGAGAATCAATTTTTTTTTCCACTCTTCGTAAACTTCTTGTAATGTTATCTTGAAAAATCACCAAGTGATTTTCAATTTGATTGAGAACATCTATTGAAAAGTACATATCTATTGACGACAATATCTAAATTAGACTGGAAAGTCGCAGACCTTTTGTATTCTTTTCATTAATGATAATTGGATCAATAAGTGCATTTATTTGTTCAATATCTTCGTAATCTATAAGAATGAAGAATGAAGTTTTAATACTCTAGAAAAAAGGACAATACTCACTGTTGCTTGTTCGTTGTCGTTTAAAACTTTTACCTGTTGCTTGATTTTGTTTTCTTTTTTTTTTCTTTTTTTTAGTCGTGATTGAATTTTTATCGAAGTCCGATGGACCGGTTGGACGAGATAAATCATCAAATTGATTATTTGTTTTTTCATTAATATCATCATCATCATCTGAAATTGAATGTGGACCCGTATAGTAAAAAACCATTCTTTCATTGCTATTCTGATAAAAATTCTGCATTCATTTATAATTTTCTTTAGTTATTTTTTTCTTTGCATTTTCGAAAACAAAGTTAACTTATCAACGAGAATCGCATGAATTATTGAAAATAAATGAATTACTCAATACTTTCTTTCTAGGAATCAAGATCGATAAAAAAATCTGTGATCGGTGATCATGGTATTATTCGATCGGAGGCCTAGTTCTCATGTTAGCATGAAAAATGATTTTTACGGAAGCATCACTGTACAAAAATAGTACTGCAATAAAACTTTTTCCATGAAGATTAGAATGATATGTTTCGGTACGTGGTATGCAGAATCTATGACACCTTTGCATGTTTACTTTCGGAAAAGATCTACACTTTCAGCAAACAAGTCGGTATATTTAACCGTTACTTTTTGTGATAAGTACATGCATGCAATGGGTTTTGCTTTGTACAAAAGGTATGTGAGGAAAAATATGAATTTTAGCATATAATACTTGCTTTATGTTAAGGTATCAATTTGTGCAAAGAATTTAATACGTTACAGTTCTACATCTTTATTACGAAAACGGATGATTTCATAAAAATTGAAGTTGAAAATTCAAATATTAGGAAGTGATTGAATATTTTTTTCACAAGGACCAAATCATTTAGATAAAGATTGTTGAACACAATCCTAAGTTATTTAACTTATTTTTCTCAATTAAGTAAAATATATTTGACAGCTTTTGTTTTACAGGATCTTTCGTATAATAAAATATTTGTAAACTGTACGTTTTCTTCTCTTTTATGTATTGCTATCTGCTATTTTCTTTGCGACGTCGATCAGCCTGATGCATGTCCAAGTATTTACACTATCAAATGAGTCAAACATTGATGTGACACTGTTATACACAGATATTCGAAAGGCTATTCGTCAATATGTATTTTATGATAGGAAATTATGGCTTATTATAATCTCCACAAGGGAGAAAAATTCAGCACACAGTGGCCAATTCTCGAAGAATGAAAATTAAACTTTAATTTATAGAAAAATATACGGTCACTTCAATCCACAAACTTTACGTAATCAACTATTTGCTTTATAAAACTCTCGTAATGTCAAGATAATTACTTCTTTTGATACAAGCATGGTTAAATATTTATGAGGCTATTTGGTTCACTCACTTTCTTCATCCCAAAGTGAATAATCACGATCCGTTATACGTCTCTTTTGTTGAAAATTTGATAAAGAAAATGTTTTGATTAAACCTTCCTGTTGAGAGGATGGAGGCATATCAACATCTTCATCCTCACCATCGATCACTGCTTCATCTATAAAATAAGTAGAAGACCTCATAATAAGCAGATGAAAAGGAATATTTACCCTTGCCATTACTAGAAGTTTGCTGAGATTCTCTAGTTCTTTTTTCTTGTTCTTCTTCACACGTTTCAAATGATCCTAGAAAAACAATGTTCGTTAATTGATAAAGCAAATAAAGATTTTAAGCATTACCCGAAGTGATGATTGTTGCTGAGGTTTTTTTACCACGAATATTTAATGTGGCTGTTTTATTAATAATGTCATGAATACTACTAAATAAAACAATACTGTACGAATCGGTTGAATCAAAATATAAGAGGTAATGAGTAGGTCGAATGAAATTGTCACTAGGCGAGAAAACTTTGCGCGATCGACGAATTCGAGCTTCTCGTTGTGCTGGCATAATTTTAATGCTTTAATCTAAAATATCCAAACAAAGAACTGATAGTAGTCTGATGTAGTTTTTGAAAACTAACACCTATTGAAGTTATTGACTTTGTAGAAAAGATGTAAATTTTTTACAAGTCAGAATCAGGCATCTGAAGATAAAGATAAGTTAGAGTGTATTGTCTCATGTTCAGCTTTATGTTGCTCATATTTTATCCATTGCCAGTTCTCTATTGTTATAGCAGTGTATTCAACTGACATATGTCTACAATGTTTTACAGGTATTGACACTGAAAAATTATTCATGTTCTGAATTTATAAAGGTCTTTTATTTGCTCTTGTTCAATCATGTTCATGATAAACTGAAATAGGAGAAACAATAAGACAATCATCTTCTTCTATAACGACACACATATACAATGAACTATAAACATCAACAAGATCAAATTGAAAAGATACTTTTTCGAGAACAAAAAAAAATGTGTCAAGTGGTTTCATAAGACGACCATAGTAAGGTGATGAAACGAAATAATCGGAAAACAATTTCTTAATTGGATATCGTTTAATAATGGCATATTGTTTATCATTACAGGACATAAATGTAATAATACTACCAAATAAAGAATTGTATTTAACAAAATAAGATACAGATGACTGTCTCTTTGTATATGCTAATGAATGAAAAATAATTTGGTTTTTGTGTCTAAATCGACGATAAAATTTGATACATTGATTAAGAACCTGACATTGACAAATACTTGCATGTACACTTGATATCATCTAAACAAATTTATAAGTATAGACATTTTTTCAAAAATATCTTTAGATTAATACTAAAAATTACCTGAACAAGTTCAACTGGTATAGTTGTTTCATCAAAAACACCTGCAGGTTCAACAATTGAAGGTTTCAATTCTTCATATTGTCTTGAATTTTTTAAAGCAAAATCAATCTAAAATACCAAGAAAAAGTATTTGATCCAAGTTTTTTTATTATTGAAAAACGTGAAACATATGTATATCTTTTAAGCATCACAAACATTCTCATGACAAAATAGATGATTTCTCTAACATCTTACTGATTAGAAAAAATGTAGGCAGCAAATTTCTATTTAAATAATTAATTTAAATTATTCACACGAACTTACACTTAGATAAAAAGCAAGTTGATCACCAAAGTATCTTGATCCATGTTTACATTTTGATATTGCACCCATAATATCCTCCTGTGAGAACGTATTAATATTGCATAAGCTTCCGTGATTCTGATACAGTTCAGCATAATGAGTGTGAAGGTGCAGCACATAGTTTTGTTTGTGCTTATAGTACCTTTCATGATCATGATAAAATGTTGTTAAAAGATCATGTGCTACATCAGCTGTTTTATCACCAAAAACTCGAGGACCATGAAGCAGCTGAAATAGAATACTTTTTTTTAAACTCTGATTATTTTTGCAATAGAAAAATAATTCTAATCTTCAGAAAGCTCTTCTATATGGATATTTCAAATAAAGTTTTGTAAAAGTAAATTTTCTTCAGAAAATAAAACTATACCCCTCATTTACTTTATTGACCAGTTCTACATGAGACGTTCGCTTTTTTTCTGATGTAAATACTCATGGCTAGTATAATACCTATTATTAATTTAAACACATACATTTTACATAGTCTTTCGGAAAAACTTCAATTAAACAAATTATAATAATATTGAAGAAATTTTTATAACCATTTACATATTTATTATGAGATAAGCACAGTAGGAATTCAGATGTTATTCACAGCAAGAATATAGTAAATAATCAATATTAGTACTTTTGCAAAAAACTATGTATTTCATGTATTCGATTCTATTATTCATTATTGTCAGAATGAAATCTGATTCATGATAATAAACCTATTCAAACAACTTATTATATCTAAACAAATCCAAAATACAATCACCTAAAATCAAACATACTGCAACCACTATTTGTATATAAATAGCAATTTCAAAAATTAAGAATATACAGTAAATGAAATTTCACTAGAGATTTCAAGAGAACAAAGCGCAAAAAACTTGCAAAAGACTTCTATTGCTAATCTCACTAGCAAATAATTTTTCTGATTGCATCAATAACTTTTAAAACAAATTTTCTTTTTTTTTTTAAAAATCTAAATATTTCTAAAGCGAATGCATTAAAAGTTATACAGCAACCTTTATTATCAGATTAATTGATATACAATTTAAACTCAAAACAATACAACTGCCGTAGGAAAAGACAGGTTAATTTCAAAGAAGTATTTTTAATAATTTTCAAAATTTATTTAATATTACTTACTCGAATTCCAGTTACAAAAAGCCCAAGATGGGCAACTGTATCATAATGAATTAAATTTCGGACCATAGGTAAAATAAAAAAAAATAAAAAATTTCGAATTTCAGTAGCTCTAAAATACAAGAAAACGATATAAAATTTTAATCAAATTGATACGTACTTAAGATGTGTTTCTTTTAATGTTCGAATAGTTCTATTGAAGAAATGAGGAAATCGTTGGACAGAAATTTTCTTGTCCAGCAGAATACGTTGTTTTCGTTTCATGATTTTCTTATAAATACAACGACATATTGTTTTTGTGTGTCGCAGGAGCGTGACGTGTAAGTAATCGGCTATTATTGACTCTGGTAAAGATATATCGACGATTTTTTCAAGAATTGATATACCCAATCGCCCACGTACATTTGTTTGAAAATGTTGTGCTCGAATAGAATCCAAAGCAAAATCCAATGAACTTCGGGTTCGAAAATTTTCATCATAATAATATTGCCTTTTATTCACTACATGGTCCCCCTTTATTTTACAAAACCAGCAACAGTAATAACCTACATGTGAAGTATGATTAATTATTAAGTTCATTGCTGGACAATCAGCTATTATTCCATATACCTTTACTATCATTCTTCCTCCTAATTTTGTTGGAAAACCTACAGAAATCAAAATGAATACTTCATGTTATGACGACTGATAAAGGAAAACATCTTTGCTTTAAATTTTCAAAAAGGTCCTCTCTTTTTTCCTTCAGTTTTCTTTTATTTTATGTTTTCCAGTATGACCTAATTTTTAACTGCATAAATTAGGAAAGAGCTTCTGTTATTCGAAAACAATTACTTAAATTAATAAACTAAGAATATTTTAATTTATAATGACAATATTTTTCGTCACTCTTAAATTTATTGCTCTTTTTAAATATCACTCTTACCTCTCAATTTTAAATTTGCTAATTGTTTAAAACACCTATCTAACCATAATTCAATAATTGGTTGTTCTGTAGCAGTCCACATTGACAGTATCAAATTATTTTGTCGACGAACTCGAAGTGCAGGTGGTACCTCGATGATCGAACAACTCAAGACCCATAAAGTTTGATTACTGGACTCACTCAAATTAATACCATCAATATGGAGGATAATACTAATAAATGGATAATTAATACAGTCACACATTTTTTTATAATTTTGATTAAAAACTATATCATTTGTTTCATCATCTATTGATTGTTTCTGAAATTTTTCACGATATAAATCAATGTTGGAACGTAATCTATCATATATCCGAGTAAACATGATGTCTTGTAATGCATCATGTACAATAGCTAAACGTTGTTGATGATTATTTGTACACTTAGGACAATTTTTCAAATTAAATGCAAGATCAGTTTTGCAATTAAGACATATTAATCTTTTAATGAATAAATTTTCGACTAAAGAAAAATAATCCAAGTTTGTGACCGTAAAAAAAAATGTTTGACATGAATTTTTATAGAAAAAGTCTTCATAATCAGTAATATCAGAAAACCTATTCATTCTACGTTGAAATATTAAACAGATATTAAATTGCTCATCCTATTTTTCACAGAATTTATAAAAAAATTAAATACTTTAGAAAATAACAAAGCAGTTGGTTTCGATTAAAAATCTTGTTTATGTTTTACTCAACTACTTTCGCTCGTTTCTGTTGTCTTTTTTCATTAAAACCAGAAATACAGAGATCCCACAACATTGTTTTCGCTCAGAATGAAAATTTTCAATGTTTATCTTTTTTTCTTGAACTAATAACAATAGTAGCCTATTGTGGCTTACATTTCTTTTTATGGAATGTTGTCATATTTTTTCCTAATACTAAAATTTTGCAAAATAAACTCGAAAATGTGTTTTTTTTCACATAAGAAAATTGCATATGCACGACCTTACTCATAATTCAGCAAAGAAAAAAAGCAAGTAATTTTGGTTACCTGATAATAAATTCAGGATGCCAGCATAATCATCTGGTAATGTATTTGGCTGCGGCAAGACAGATTGTATTAAATTTATAAGATGTTCAGCGTGAGTTTTAGAAATGTTTGCTTTTCGAATAAAATCAATAAGATTATGTGAAAATAAAAAACAGCTAACAGATGTATATTGATGAAGATGAGAATTTTTTTTTTCTTGATAAGGAACAAGATCACTAAAATCGAGAATATCCGAAGTAGTACATAATTGATTGATATTGTCTGTTATTTGACCATTTGTATCAAGAGATTCCGTCGGACCACATGAAACATCAATTTCAATAAAATCTTTTTCATTATGTGAAGGTAATTTCATCAAAGTAAACTTTTTTGTAATAGATTGTTCAGTTTCAAGTGAATTAGTAGAATTAAAATTAAAACGAGAATTCAAACGAGCTTTATAACGACGAAGTTTTTCCTTCTTATAACGAGCTATTTTTTTTTCTTTAGCGTATTGAAGAGCTATTTCAATTTCATCCATAATAGACAAACATAATAAAAAAAAACAGCATGTTAATAAATTGATCTAAAAAAAAATAATGGTTCAGAAATTAAGATAGTGACATCATATTCGATTGAAAATATGTGCATATTGACCCCGTCTATACTAAAAAAAAACAATACAGTATTAACTTTGTATTAAAATGATGCGCGTCTACACTCATAAGTTAATGCACCAATCAGAATTCAGAATGAAGTGTTGCTTTAATTTAGTTCAATTGGTGCACATGAACTGAATTGTGTTAACTTTTCAAAACTGTATTAAGTGTGTATTAACTTTTCGACCAATCATATTTCTTAATACAGTATTGATTTTCGTAGTGAAGACAAGGCCATTGTCCAAGATTTGACTAAAACTTACACTGCTATAGAATATGATGAACAAAGCTTAACTAATTTGATTCATCAACAGTGTTAATCGAGAAAGAATTATTCTCGCTAGATGGCAGCACTTCACGTTTTATAGTATATTACTGCATTCAGCCCGATTTGCTCATTTAAGACAATATCTCTAATAATCAAATTTTAATCTGTTACTATTTTAATTAAATATGCATAAAAATCGTAAATTAAAACTCATTTATTAATCATAATGGCTCGATTACGAATGATTATCAGTGCGTAATTATAGATTGCGTATATATTGTATGATACACAATTGAAGTTTTTAATTTTTGTTGGATGAAACTTTACAAAAATTGATCAATTACAAAAAATTACTTTTAATTAATTTTTCAAGAGCTAAAATTCGACATAATTTAGATCATAGTTCTAGAAAAGATTATTTTGAATATTTTCTGGTTTAAATGGCTTTTATCGATTCAAATCGCACAATTTGTATTGCTTTTCAAATCAATTTTAATCGATATCGATTTCTTTTTTTTTTTGGCTTTATTTTTCCTCATATATATTACACGAATCGCATACAAGCAAACACTAAGAAAACAATCTCCAGCAAATGAAAAAAGACAGAAAAATCAGATTTGAATCAAGTTTTTTGAACTGAAAATCGAACACTTTGTCAATATTGACTTTAGCCGATTTTCGAAACTTAAAATCTCGAAAGAGTTCCACCATTGTTACCAGATTTCAATTACAACAAAAAGTCACGTAGACTCACTTACGTATAAACCATTGATTGCAAGCTTTCTTCGTTCTTGAATCTTATGTTAAATGACTTCGGTCAAATTTAATCTTTTATCAGTTTAATGCTATATTACTGAATAATCTCTGTCAGCTTGCTATTACCATTAATCGATTTTTATTGTATGTACTGAGGACAAAAGTACTCTTATTAAGATTCAAACACAAAACTTCAATTATCTATTAGTTTTTGTTTACTCACGTTAACAGAAAGCATAAAGTTGTCTCAGAA